CTCCTTTTTTTTTTTTTTTTTATTCTTTTTGCCATCGACCCAATATGCCGCTCCCATGTTTGTCAACTACATGTGCTATTGTAATACGATGGTTCCTAAGCGTGTTGGCATGAAACGATCGCTAGAAAGACGAGTTCCATTTCAACTTCCTCGGTCCAAACTGCATAAAATATAACCAATATACCTTTACGATCAATAAAACTCTTCTTTATGATTGTCACTTCGCATATTCAACTGTTTTGAATATATACTAGTATAGAAAATATACTTTAATGACGGGAACACTCATTAACGGTAATTAAAATAGACCTCCGTTATGATACCACATTGCGCCATCAACAGAATTGATTTAAACAACGTATTTGAAAAATTCATGAATATTATCGATAAAACGAATTTATCGTATGATAAAATATTTTCTGATGTTTTTATCTATTTTAAGAGAATATTTACGTCATCCGATCTTGCTTAACAAAAAAGAATCACAAATCGAATGATTTTTTAATTAGAAACCATTTGCACTGCCACCTGAAATGATCGAATAGTATTATGTTGTATTCTGCATAAAAAGATATTAGCAAAAAATATATTATATAATCAAATACACATTATATAGTTTTTATATCCTTATCAAAAACTTATTAATAAAGTAATTGTTAGTAATGGTAAATATATATTGTTTATACGTATATCAATAATTTTTCATTTCTCTGCTTCTTTTTGAATAGAAACGGTGCTTCTTTTCATATAATACTAATGTAATCATAGAATGCATTAAAAATACATGTATGTAAATATGATCGAACCTTGAAACTCGGCGGAATAATTTGAATAAGATGTGGAAACTTCTCGAAAAATAATTATTAAAGATATAATATTGAAACCTATTATTTGAATTATTATATATCTATAAATTATGTGTCTTTATAAATATTATATATCTTATAATTATATATTTTTATTTTATATAATAATTTTTACATTACATAGTAACCTAACATTTTAATTTTAAAATCGATGTTACAACTTTCATACGCGCTCGAAATAATAGATTTTATATATACATATAAAATCTATGATTTTTTTATTTTGTTCACTTAACACTAATGAAAGAAATGAAAATAAACATCGATAGAGATATAATTAATAAGCAATCCTGGTTAGAAAGTGAAGAGCGAAAAAAACCGCGAAGAAACGTAACGAAATTGTAACGAAGGACAAACAGACCAGATAACCCGACTATACCTCGGTTAGCAACACGATCGTCTGACTATTACGAGAATGATAACAAGCATGTATATGCTCACCACAGTATCTGGGGTTATCATTTTCTTTTTCTCCATTCTGGAACCAACCGAGGGAACTATTTAACTCTGAAGAATCAGAGTGGTCCAGGGGTCAGTTGAAAGGAACAGACAGGCTATCCAACCATTACTTTTATTCTTTTCTTCTCTATTTTCGATTTCTTTTTAATTTTCTGGAATATTTAAAAAATATCGATAATTATTTTGATGATGATTTTTTTTTACTCTTTTCTTTTTTTTTTTTGTTTTTTAATTATAAAATTTAAAAAAAATATATATTACCTTTAAGCAAATTATCATTTTACGCCTTCAATAAAAAAAAATGTAAACATTCAATCATATTAGAACTCATGTTATGTATATGTATATATATACTTACTTTTTATTAACCTAAAAATCTCATGATTATTCATGAATGCATATCAGAGCATAGAAATAATAAGAAAGATCTATTATTAAAAAAACATTCGTATTTTGTCTCTTACAAAAATGAAAAGATTGTCGTAAGTCAATATAGTGACTACGATCATATTATATGCATATGCACAACTGAGAAACATTTTAAACGCAAATATTGTCGCAGTTCAGTACATCGAGGGTCTTCGTATCCGCTGACGTCACATTGACCCAACGACTCCGCCGAACTTTGCGCCACATTAACATATCGATTTACAAGCATTTATATACGTTCAATTTCTATTTGAAAGAATGAATGTTCCTAATCAAATATTATAAAAGAAAAAACGCGGCAACTTAATAATCAGCATCATCAACTTGCATCGAACATTTTCATTTTAATATTATTGAGGATAACTATTCAAGAATGATCCACATCAATTCATCATAATATATAAAAAAAATATTATATTTCGATAATAGGTACTGATAACTTTTTTATTCAATCTTATTATGTAATGATAATTGCTTTATTTTGCTAAAAAAAGCTAGATATTTTAATAAATTTGTCAATCCTATCGATGTATTAATAAATAATAGGTTATTAATCTCGATTATATATTAATTGTGAAAACATTTATACAAATAATTAAAATTTTTTACCTTTTAATAAAACACAAATAGAATCAACGATTAATGTAATTTTATATATACATACATAATAGAAGTTTTATTAATTAATAAACAAATTATAAAATAAATATATATTTGATACACTTTTTCGTCCCGTATCTTGAGATTTTTTGAGTATTTAATGTTATTTTTAATATTACCGATTCAGCATAATTATATTAATGCATTTGAACATTTAAATATTAGAATTGAATGTATTTGTATGAAACTATAACTATGATAGAGATAAAATTTAGAAATCTGTATTTTTTTAATCGTTTATAAATATATTTCTTTACGTAAAAATTTCTATTATCACAATAATATAAATAATTAAAAATAATTTAAATAACAATTGTATTCAAATTAATTTCAGATAATCTTGAAAATCGAAAAATAATAAATAATTATTTAAATATTTTTCTATTTTAATATTATAATTAAAATATTCATCATAAAGTTGCTTCTTTCGGTTCAGTACTGCCATCATGTGGATGTTCAATGAATTAGTTAAGAAATTGAATTGATACTCAACCGATAATTTTTTAGTCGATAAGTAACTTAATTAACTACGTCAATTCATACACTATGTTTTTGATATTTTAATACATAATATGAAACAATGTGAGAAATAATTTATAAAAACTATTATTCGAAATATATTTTTTATTTGTTATGGCGTGGACAAAGTGCTACAAGTTACATAAGAAAATAACATAAATATATTTAATGTATAACTGAAATTATGTTGAGTAACATAATTTGATTGCTATGAACATAAGTATAAATCTTTTATTATTTTGTAATATCGATATATTTATAATTTTTTTATTTCTAACAAAAATTCCTATAAAAAGTTATTTATAGGAATATATCTCTTGATTTTTACATATTATTCTTAAATAATATTCCTTCAATGTGTATTGCTTTTTTGTGGGATTTGAACAGGGTATTTCATCATCTGAATTTGTATCCATTTCTAATAAAACTTTCCTTTTTGTGATATTATTGATTAATTGATTTGAATTGTCATTAATATCATAGAATTTTTCATACTGTGCCAAAAAACTGAATTCTCTTAACCTTTCTAATATTGATAATGAAAGAGCATTCGTAGCTATTTTATATGCTTTTTGTAAGGATTGTTTATAATTTATTCCATGAAATTCGGTCTGTAATAACAACTAGTATTATTTATAATGAAATTAATGAGATTAAATTTTAGAGAATTAAATACCCTTTTAATTAATTGATCATATTTATATGTTGCAAATGGTTTAAGACTTCGCTTATGAATCCAAGCACATTCAAGTTTTTCTTCATTAAAGAATGTAACATAATATTTAATCTATAAATTATATATATTTTATTATTTTGTTAAAAAAAATCATGTTATATAAAAAAAAAAAAATATAACTTTACAGGAATCAGAGAATTTTTAGGCAATTTATAATATGTAAAAGTATCAGGACAATCATTTATTATTCCAGGCCACCATGGAAAACCTTTCATATGTGCCCAAACAATACTACCTGCATTATAAGCATTTTCAATTAAATTAAATTTAATGGCAAGTGAGTTAGGATGTTCTGGTATATTACAAGATGCCATTGATTTATCTGTGAGATCATACGCATTAATATTAATACATATGTATGTATAAAATATATAAAATTTAAAAAAAAAAATATACAAACCATAATTCATTTCACAATACCATATTTTGGGTACACTTAGTGGATCATGATATTCTTCAACGTATCTCCATTTTTTACAATTTTTTCTGCAGCATTCAATCCATAAACCAATATCCCTCTTAGGTTGTAGCCAATATAATTTTCCTTTCCAATTAAAATCATATTGAAATAATTCTTCTGCATTTGGATTGAATACTGAAGAATCAAAAAAAAAAAAAAAAAAAAAAAGAAAGAAAATACCATTTCAATAATATTAAATTCATTAAAATATCTAACACATTTTAAATTTCCATAAATTTTACTTATTATAAATCTATGAGTTTATAAAATAGCATTATATCATACAATTTTATTACAATTTTCCCTTAATAGTAACATACTTATTATAATTAAATTAACAGCTAACGTATACTGTTACACGCGAAAATGTGTTAATTTTTCTTTGACATCAGTATTGGTTTTCAACGTATGCGTGCATTTCTTTTCACTGTTTATACACCTACCTACAGAAGATTCTTGTGCTACATTGTTTCTGTTGTTCACTACGTTCACGGATCTGTTTCCTAAAACATTTCTATCGTTTTCTTTATCGTTCGTTTGTACTTTAATCCTGTCTAATTTGGCGCGTAATCTACGTATTTGCTTTTGTGAAGAATCGAATCTATTGCATTTAGTTGTGTGTTTGTGAAACAAAGTATTATTTGATTCGTCAAATGGAATATGAATTCCGCTATCTATAGTATTTGAAGCATCTAATTCATCATCGGTGTAATACAACTTTTTTGGCTTTAAATCTCCCTTCTTAGGTTGTTTTTTGTACTTCACTGGCGCTTTCGGCGTTGGTATACTTTTCTTTTCCATCGGTGGGGTATAAAACGAGTCAGACATATTTTCAATCGATTGTTTATGAGATAAATTGAACTATTGAAAGATAGATATAAATGTGAATTTTTTATCAACTTTTTAATACATTATCAAAAAATTATTATTCTATTATGGTACCTGTGACAAAAAATTTGTTGACGAATTGGAACGATTTACTTGCTCGAATTCCCATTTTTCAAATAGTATCGTGGGAGTTCGTCGATTCAAATCTGATCGTTCAAACAGAAAATTTCTTCCTTGGATATCGTTTCGAGTGGGTTGATGCATGATTGAAATTTAATTTAATACTATAACACTGTGTACCAAAGAGTATCAAAGTATTATTTTTTTAACGAAAAACAGTTTAATTTATCACAAAAAAAAAATCGCGGGATGATGATTAAAAATTACGAGTGAATGAGGAACCCGCCGCGTTTGTAATGGGGTTCGCATATCATTTTGCACGGTATTTGTTGCAAAGCAACGCGAACCAATAAAAATTAAAATTTTTTAACAAATGACAAGCGTATAAAATATTTATCATAAACATGTATAAAACTTATGTTATATCTATATAAACGATGTTAAACAATATTGAATTGTTCATTCATATCTAAATTGATTGAATAATTATAATATAAAATAAAATTAAATAAAATTAAATGAAAGGTAAAATAAGATAAACAAATTAATCTAGATTCTTTTAAATTTTACAATTGCCGCCATTACTTTCATTGGTTAATTGAAATTTCGTCGCGCGCAGTTATATTCTAATTCGTTGTTCCCATCGTTCGCGATTCAAAAGAGTGTCAGTCGTGTTTGTTGTCCGTTATAAATCTAATGTATAAGATTGAAAAAAGATTGCATTTTATATTAAAAGTGTATCCTTCTAATTATTTAAATGTATTAAATAATATAATTGTGTTACTTTTATTGTGAAACGTAAGTAATATTTTTAATTATTAATCACTTATTATTCGTACATAGTATAAAATGAGAAAGTAATCGTGATCACATTCACATAAATTAAATTAATTTTTTTTTATATGATAATTATTACAATAATTAATTTTTTAAAGAATAATTATATGTAAAATATCATAATTAGATACTTTTATATAATTAGATTATTAATACTTTTTAATTAAATTATTTTAATTTAATAATAAATTAATGAATTATATTTTTGATATTATTCGTTTTATATTTACATATATGTAATACATACACAAATTAGAAAACTAGTTGCTTACATCATTTCTATTAGTATTCAATATTTACAAATGTGTAGTTTATTTACATTAATACAAATGATAGTTTATTTCACATCAATATATCTATAGCTATGTGTGTGCGCGCATGTGTTTGTACATGTGTGTGTATGTGTGTGTGTGTGTATCTTAAAACAATTTAATATATG